GAGCTAAACCAGGGGCGGGAGGGAAGGGGGGGAGAGAAGAGGTCGTCGTCGTCGCTGGTTGAGGAACGAAGATATGTGGTGGAGAGAAAAACAGAAGCCGGATGATCCAAAAGATCGTCTGGCCATGAAAAAGAGAGGAAGTCCAGGGGAAGCACGTACGCTCTCTAAAATAAATAAAAAAATAAGGGTACATGTGTTAAGGAATTGCGGGAATTTTGATCAGGATAATTTTAATTCTGTAACAAAAATGAATATATTCTGAAAAATTGGCACGCTCCACTGCAACCTGACACGCCGTGCAGGGTGCATGCGCGTGTGTGACAGCTAGTAGGCTACTACTACCTATGTCCCATTACAAGTGCAGCCATTAGTTTCCGTGCCCGACCATCCGTTTTATTTGTAAAATTTATGAAAAAAAATTAAAAAGTTAATTCAAGTATAGAGTACTACCTCCGTCCCAAAATACTTATCGTTTTAGGTTATTTAGCATGTATTAAGGTTTGAAGACAAAGACTATAATACCCCTTAATTAATAATGCATAGTTGGATTTGAATGGTGGTTGGGGGTTCGTTTGAGCTCGTTGTCTTAACGAGCCAGCTCGGCTCGGCTCGTTAATGTTAACAAGCTAAAAGGGTAGCTCGGCTCGGCTCGCGAGCTAGCTCGTTAGACGCGTTAGGCTCGTTAACGAGTTATATCTCATTAATATCATATTAATAATTTTGAATTTAAGATTTTATCATGTATTAACATAATAATAAACATTAACTAATATAGTACTCACTAAATATGAATAGTTTTGATGTAATTAAAAGACTAAGCACTAGTCAAGAAACACTAAGTTTATAAAGATATGGTGATATTTTATACTAACGAACTAAATGAGCAGCTCGCGAGCTAGCTCGTTAAGCTCACGAGCTAAAATTCTAGCTCAACTCGACTCATTAAGACTACGAGTTCGAATCGATCCGAGCCGAGCTTGCTATGAGCTGATTCGAGCCACGAGTTTCGAGCTTTTTGTCCACCCCTAGTTGGGGGTATAATGGGGAGAAATTTGAATTGGATCAAGTGGTTGATATGACAAGTAATATTTCAAAGTGACAACTACAATTTTTGAATGCTAGAAAGACAAGTATTGTGGGAGGAGGAAGTACTATTCATATTTTATCATCTAATAACAACAAAAATACTAATCATAAAAATATTAAAATAAGACGGATGATCAAATTTGGACACTGAAACCCATAACTGCGCTTATTATGGGATGGAGGGAGTATCAGCTAGTGGGCCAACGGATTCCAAATAATTTTTGAATTTTTTCACCTAAGTTATATATCCAACCTAGATTCGATTACAATCCAACCTAGATTCGATTACACTGTTATATTTTGATGAATTCTTTTAGTTTTCTTAAATAACTTTTTTAAATGTTGCACTTGTTCTTATTTTCATGTTTCGATAATTGTTTCTTTGATGTTTTAATAGTTCATTAGCAAATTGTTGCACGTGGTGTTTTTGATGTTTTAGCAAGTAACTTGTGTTCTGTACATGATATAAAAATATTTTACTAAAATTATGTATTTATATGCATATTGTATGTTTCATAGAATTTTACTGTTTGTTTTACTCATGGAATTTAATGTTTTATGTGGTGGTTGTTGGTCTTTACGCACTATATGTATATATTTTTAATATTGCATCTCTTTAGTAATGTATGAAGTGAATTTGAACATTTTTATATGCGGTGAAACATTTTATTTATAAGCAGTGCAACATTGCTCTATCTTTTATACTTTTTATCCAAATATAGTAGTTTGAGATCTTATTGTAAAGATATAATTTTATTTAACTTTAACAAGTATATCGGTACAATCGGATTAAGTAATTTAGGAGAAATAACCATTTAACAATTTAGTTTAAACTTTGTATGTGCATGTATAGAAAAGTATACGTGCACGCATAGCTAGAAGTCGAACTGTGCAACTTAAAAAAAATAATTGTTTGGTTTCCGCATCACATAAGAGGAGAACGATGAGAGGTGAGAATGAGATTTTTTTTACTCATGGTAATCGAACCAAAATTTTGTTCGACTTTAATAGACTGCTCTAACAAAATCGATATTACAGGTACCCTAAGAGACTTGCGGCATCATTACACGCATAGAGATAGATTGGTAGTTTTAATACAAGTTAGTGAGATGGGTGTTTGATATTTAGCTTTGGATTTGGTGTACGATCCGTGGTTCTTTCATTTGATATTGGGCTCTAGATCGGGTGCAGTTGTCTCCCACGTAGGCTTGGACGTCCGTTGCGCACACGAATGCTATCGTAAGTACTTATTATCAGAGCAGGTACAATAAACTGACTCAGCGAGCTGC